GTTTTTTGGTGAAGATAAAGCTTTTTTTTCAAAAGCTCTAAATATTTTTGGGGGCTATGATGTCTCCCAACTTTCACGTTTAATTGATTTTCAAATTTGGGTTTGGAATTTCAAAATTTTAAATGTAATGACTGACCGGGTGGATTCCTGCTTCGTTGCCGGAAATGACAGTGAAGTACATGGCAAAGCAAACCGCTATACCCAACAAGGCTGTTACTGCAATGGTGATGATGAAAACACGGAGTAGACAGGAAACTTGGAAGGCCGAATTGCAGTTTTTAGCGAACCCACATTTGCCTGCCTCCTCGTGGTCGTCTGTGTGCAAATTAAAAGTTCTATCTTCATTCTTTTGTTGCCATGTAAACAAAAAAAGATAACTATAAAGTTAACATTTACAAAGCAAATACATTTACCTTCGCATATGGTCTGCTCTGTTAATTCTTACTCAAACACATTCATATACATGGTGAAAGATGTCTAAATCCCTCCTGCTATATAATTGCAACATGATGTAACCCAACACCAGTTACCATGGTGAGAGTCGTCTGGTTCAGGCCATTGACCTTTTCAGAGAAAAGGAAACTGAGCCTTCGGTAAACATAAAAAAAGTCTTAGGGAACAAGCCCTAACTAAAATTCCAATAGGAATCGCCTCTGTAGCAAAAGCCATAGGTGTTTTTGGCTTGCTGTACGCTGAAGCTATCTGGCTACTAACAGTGCAATGCCAAACATAACGTTATTAGTGACATACATGTACATAGGTATTCGTTTCAACATGGTGAGATATACGGTTCCAAACCTACCTTTAGTGCACAGCAAACCAGACATACTTGTTTATTTATTTATTTCTTTGAATTTTCCCAAGAATGAAAGGGAGGGCAGAACAGGTGCATACGCACCTTTACAGGTTGCCCTCCCCCATACAAAACACACAACAGCAAAATATACATAGTCAAGGTCAGCAATATATAAAGCATGATACATAAAGCAGACGATGAATTAGTTAAGCATAATTCAAATACATCTAGTAATAAATGAAGGAATAAATCATGTTGAAGCAAGAACTTAGTGAGGTCTTGAGACAATGCAAGAACTACACCTACAAGAAGTGGTCCATTTACATGGGTGATCAAGACTGTAGTGTGTGTTGAATCTGTAGAAAGTGGCCTTGAGTAATTTATGTTTAAATGATATAATATCAGGCTGATGAGCTGCTCGCTCACCAGTACAGCGGAGGTCAGACCCTTACCAGAAACTTATTCCAAATGTTCTTGCCCCGATGAAGATGACAAGTCATCGAAACGTCGCCACATGTCCAATGGTATCATTTTGCACCAAAAATTTAAATATTCTATTTAAAGAAATATTCGTGATTGCAATTTAGTTCCACTTTTCAACATATTTGTGCAATTATCTCACATTTATAGTAATCGCTAAAACAGGGGAAAGTGACGTCACACAAGGCCCACCCGGTACCCAGTTTGTGGTGCCACTACCAGAATGCAAACAAACATGGCTGACAGTTTAACACAATTAACACACTCGTAACGCGTATGAAGCAGGGTTGATTCAAGTTACTTTGTGAATAGATGACCAGAAAACATATGTTTTTGCGTCGTCCTAATGTCACATAATGAAGCTTTAACAAGTGGCTGTGAATTGTGAAGAAATTATTAATGGCTGTTATAATGCTGTGTAAATGTTGTACCGGTAATTCGAATGCACGTGTCAATATAGGGTCTGGGTGGTCGTCAAAATGGTAAGCATCATTGATGCTTTCTACTGAATTGTGAATCAGTGATACTGCAATGTATTTATTGTATTGTGTACTAGTATCATTACGGAAAATACGCGTGCTATACTCCCCAATTCTCTATGCAAATTAGTTATTGGAACAGAAAAACAAGACTGACTCCCCGGACCGATCGTTACTTGTCATACAGCTCAGACTCATTTGGAGAGTTATGAATCCAAATGAGAAAACGTACTGCAAACGATCTCATTTTGGCCAAAATGTAGGATCTAAAGAGAACCTAACTTAAAAGACATTCAAATCCTCTTTTTATCAAAGCAAGACGTCAGACACTATAAAATCTCACGACACATTTAAATCACCAGTTACTTAAGCGACCAATACATGTCTGTGCTGGTCAGAATTTGCCCAGGCCGCGTTGATGTATCGTTGTGGTTCAGCATGGGGAAAATGATATCAATTCTGGCTTTATAACAAAGGGAAACATGCAACTTATTTATTCTTGCCAAAATTCTAGAAAACTCCTTAGCACGTGAACGATGCATGCTCGTGCATCTTCTAGCCAATCACAACCGTCTGATTTGAATAATGTCATGATCAGAAAGTTTAGCTCCGCTTCAGTCACCACTTCGGTTTGTAACAACTGCACAACTGGTGCCGATTTTAAAATCGTGTATGGATCGAATTTGAAGATGTATCAGTATGGGGGAAAATGATATTGATATCGCTTTACAAAACACGCGCCGCACAAGTCGCACAAGCGAAATTCTGTATTAAAAAAAGCGGCTAGTTACAGAAGATTACAATAACTATTGAACATAATAAAAAAAAAAGAAAACGGTACAGAATGAAATTTAACATCATTAATACATCAAGAGCTACTGAATACAGTATACAATCAAGAAGGGCTAATCATGAGTTTCGGCATTCTTTCTAATAGCTATAATAACTAAAACAATAATAAATAACAACATAACGAAAATTGGAAAATAGCACTTCCTTCTGGACATTAGGACTTCTTTAACAACATACCTTTATCTTGTTCAGGAGTAGAAGGCCCAGTATCAACCACTTCATCTGTTGACTCTTGTACAGGCGGGATTGTCGGCTGACCAATCTCGTATCCCGAATCACTTCGGGCTAAATAGAGAAAAGTATTGGTATTGTGTCGACCTTCACCTTGGACATCTTTGCTGTCAGAATGCTGACCCGATTCATTCTCATCTGTCGAGCCCTTTCTTACTGGATCCTCTCCACCTCTGTCTTTAGTTTTTAGTTTAGTAGCTTCCTTGTGATCTGGTTTGCATCCATAAAGCCGTGATAAAGTCGTAGTCTGTCCTTGACCTGTGTCGTCAATGGGTTTTTGTTCAGCTTGTCGAGCCGATTCCTGTTTATCCTCTGTGTCTCGATAGGCATGTGGCATCAATTTGAAATCCTCGTCATCTGTTGTGTCCACGTACAGTGGTGATTTAAGGGATTTTTTGCCAGGTGTTCTGGCCTGGTTGTCATCATGTCCAGAGTTGATAGGGAGGGGCACCTCGGCACAAGGCTCAGCTACCGGCCCGCAGTACGTGGTGTTTTGGTCCTGGTGCTTTACTCCACGAAAAGCCTTCTCTTTGGATGTCTGCATTTTTTCTCACAGGATGATTCTCACTGAACTGATATTATTTTGGTAGACTTTTGTACATTTGATGGTGGCTTCAAGTGAAAGAAAACGATGCTGCCACTACGATAAAACACTGACAACAATCTTGGATCAGAAAAACAAGACCGACTTCTTGAGCCAGTGTTGCTTTTCTGCCAGCACAGACTCATTTGCTGAGTCATATAATGACAAAGAAAACAGCAGAAAATTTCATATTGCATTTCAATGGCATATTGCCTCAACCATCTTTTCAGTGAGAAATGTAATCAACTTAAAAGGCATTAGAAGCCTCTTTAAGCAAGTCCTTGGCATTTTATTTTCGAATTATAAAGTTCGGGGGGGGGAGGTACATTTGTACTTAGTAGCTCGTGAAAGACTGGGGAGGGGTAAAATCTCTTCAAGCGTAAAGAGAAGCCAATCATGAAACCTAGAATCCACTAGAACGGTCTGAACGGTACATCCCCACGGATCTTCCCGAAAATTCCTTCACGAATAAGTAACTGTTACATCCCCAACACCTGATGTGGGCCTTTTATGGTGGAATTAGACCAGACAATATGACTTTTAAAATTTGATGTTGTGATTGTGTTTTTCATAATATTGTGTCGGTAAGTTGGGGCGGGGAATACGAAGGTCAAGTTCAATTCTAGCGGCTTTCTAAAGTACTGCAGAAGTTCCAGGTTTGATATGTAGCTGTCCTGGTTTGTCCTGGAATCACATGAGGTACAGATATGAACTCCTCGTCAACGCATCAGATATGATAACAGCTCCCAAAACTGATGTCATGACTTCATTTGTGAATATAAATAAATCTGATGAAATGTATTTCATTGCGTTTCCTTGTTTATTTCCATCCTCTGGGTCTGAGACAGAAGTTTCTCCATATCAGGAAATAAGCTTTAGATTATTTCTATCTTGATGATAATCCAGTTACCCTTGCTTGTTTCGATCAGGAAGCTTTTTTTACCAGAAGGTGTTTGTGTTAATGATCATTTCGAAGATAGAGTAAATTATATAGTGTTACATTAGGCCATGTTGATTTGATTATATGGATGACATCCGCGCGCGCATGAATTTTCGGCCGTTTCCAAAAAAAAAAAGTTTTCAACCATACTGTAAATCGTACAAAACAGTTGCAAAATGAGCAAAAATATACCGTAAGTTACAAAAAAATAAGTAAAATCTATACCAATGTCGTAGAATGCCAAAATCAAACGAAAAAAGACGAAATTGTAAGGAAATGAACTTGAAGATTAGATTATTCGCCAAACCATATTCTGTCCCATTTGTTCAACCCTCATGACCACGTAGATTTCATAATGAAAACAACTTTTTTTTTTTGCAAAACTTTTTTTTTATTCGCACGCGCGCATCAGTTTTGGGGCTCCCGGAGGATGTCATCCATATGATCAAATCAACATGGCCTTAATTTGGAAATTCTACTTTTTGTTGTGTGGCCAATTGTTTTAGGTTAGATGCGCCGGGGTACCTTTTGGCCAAAATTCATTTCGAGCCCTGTAACTGCCCGTGGTTTTCATTATAAGATTTTTTATTTCGATTTTGATGAAAGGCCGTAAGGTCATTGACCTCCTCTGGGCGTGTGGTATTGTGGGATAGTGACAAGATGGCGGAACCGACCCAGGTAGTGTTCCTGGCGGGTCTGGCGTTGTTCTTCAGTTTTGTGACGTGGAGAGACATGTCCCAGCTAGCTAACGTAGCGGCAGACGAAGACAACGAACCCGTAGGAAAGTTGAAGCACTTTCAGGGAACAAACCCCGTCCTAAAGTTTACATTTTGGTAAGTAAACCGTGGCATCTTCATTTGCCAAAATATAGGGGGAGGGGGGTAACCAAAGTGAAACCAACGAATTTCATCTTATTTCCGCATCTAAAATGGCATTTTCTGGCGCTCTTTAATTTCAAAATTGCGTGATTTAGCAATATATAGACTTAGAGCGAATTTTGCGTATTTTATGAGCACAGACGTCTGATTTTTGCTGGTTACGCAATTATGCATAAACAGGACTGGAAATGGTCATGAGTCATCATAATTTATATGTAAATCTAATGATGCTAATTTGTGGAACAGCTGGACATTCTAATATTATCAAGTATCCCCAAAAGGTACACCAGCACAATATAGCATGAATCAGCAAATAATGAGAACAACTCAAGTGCAATATTACAATTACAAATGTAAGTGTAAAGTACCTTTCCAAAGGGCGTAACACTGAGGCCTGCCAGGGATTTGAACCTAGAACCTTTAGATCATTCTAATATTGTTCTGGCCAACCAGGTCTGGTTTTTTTTTTCCCGTCATCTTAATTTTGTTAGGCGTAACATTATGTCAAACTTGCAAAGGTACGAGGTACAATCCTAGAGGGTGACCCTCTGAAAAACCATTTCCTACATTTTGATGGGCAAATTTTGCTAGTAGATCCACCATGCAACAAAAGAGATGTCATTGGATTAATGACATATCTTTCCATATCTTTAGACAGACGCTGGCTAGAACAATGGGTCAGTCAACAACCAGAGCCACTTGCCAACATAGAAATAAGTTGAGCTACAAATCTATATGACCTACTTGTAACAGTATTTAAACATGCCTGTTTTGTTGCAGCTACTCCTGAGGGTATAAGAATGTTTTCCAGCAGTATGCTCAGGCCATCCAGCAGAACTACCCAGAACTGAGGATAGAGGGCGGTAATTACCCACCTCCAGCCTACAGGCAGTACCTGGCTGGCTTCCTCTCTATCCTGAAGGTAAAGACAGGGTTGGTTAGGGGGCATGAGGTTAACATTTACTACTGTTGTTTTCTTTGATATCTTTCCAACAGTTAACCACCTTGGCACGCTTATCCCCCCAGCATTTATGCCAAAAATATTCACACTGAAGTGAATGTGAAAAACATGCACGGGTATAGTCTGCATGGGGTAGTGATACTGATATTGTTTGGTAGATGCAGGTAGCATTACTAGTAATTGGAGATAATCTGCAGCAGACAAAGTTTACCTGTACCACTTGGTGCAAAAACTAGAAACTGTAATTTAAAGAAAATGTATGTTACTTGGATCCTTTAATTTCCATCTGGTTAAATAAAAAAAGGACAGAAATACCTGCACAGCTCCAATTTTAACTGCTGCACTAATCTGTACAGGTGGTACATGTATTTCAAGCCCTGTAGTCTCAAGGTACAAAAGAAATGTTTGTACATTTATATTTTTTTTTTACCTCCCTGTAGTTTGTTGTGATTGGCTGCATAGTAAGTGGGAAGAACATCTTCTCACAGCTCAACATGGACACACCAAATGTCTGGACTTGGGCGCTGGAAAACAAGGTTTGTCTAAATTTGTTACTTCTGGTTATAGAAGTATTGTTTTGGTTCCTTATGTGGGGTAGAGTCTCTTGCTTGTCTAAAAGGCTTTAATTCTCTGGTTGTATGATGGATTTCAAAGTCAGTTTTCAGTACATTTCCATTTTCTGTTTCAGATTTATGCCTGTATGATGGTTTTCTTCATCTCCAATGCTGTGGAAGGTCAGCTTATGTCAACAGGGGCATTTGAAATAACATTCAATGGTAAGTCAGCCGACAAATGGTAAGATGTGGATGGGTGAAAAGTTGATATCTATTTGGCTTCCTTTATAATTTCTTCAAGGTATGGAAGTATTGGTTTGGGTGGCTGGACAGAGTGGGGTAGCACCTGGGTGGAAGGAGATTGACATGCAGAATGGCAGCAGGTCAAAAGGTCATACACGTACCTGTAAGAAATGGCATGAACCAGAAGTCTTCTTTCAAAAAGATATGGACTGCCAAAACTGTGGTTTTGAAGCACATGAATGTTTTGTATGCCCTAAGCAAGAAAAATGGCAACCTGTCTCTGTTACTGAAGTCTTGAAAGCAATTGAAAGCTCACCTGTGTTGGTAGAATCCATAGTTGTAGTGTTTAAGCTTTGTTCCAACACAATAAAGGTTAATCTTCATCAGTTGTGTGATCCACTTGTTGACTCTTCGGAAGTCGGAAGCGTGATGACATCAGGAGTGAATTAATTAGTGGCAGGAAGACAGAATCTCCCACAGTCATGGTTCAAAACTGAAACTCTACAACAACATCACCTTGTATTTATTTCACAGATGTGAAAAATACTTCCCGGGTCTCTAAAATTTTTGATTTCTTGTTTCTCAGATGTGCCAATCTGGTCCAAGCTGCAGTCAGGCCGTGTGCCTGCAGGTCAGGAGCTGTTCCAGATCCTGGACAACCAGATGAAACTCTTCAACAGCAACATGAAGCCACCTTTCACAGCCTAGATGTGATACAAGGTCAGTGTTCTCTACTACTCATAAGTCTTCATATGTACAGGGATTGACATTCATTTGTGGAAATAAGTGCAGAATTAAGGTTCACAGAAAAAATTTAGGTGCACACTGCATAACATATGACAAAGTAAAATATCTGCAAAACATAACTGCCTTCATAACATCACTTCAGAGCTTGAATCTGAAATTCTAAATACCAGTAGCTGATGTAAACAGATCATACAGCAAGCTTTCATGGTGGTATTATTTGTAATGACCTCTCCACCACGAATCCATGAGACTGTGAATTGTACATGTACAACTTTACTAAAGAATTGTTTCAACTACTAATACTGTAAATGAAAAAACACCGTAAATAAAAAGTATTACAAAAATTTCCTTCTTAGAAATACATTTACAGTAACTGTGGTATCTGTGTTGTTTCAGCTTCTCTCCTTGGTGTGACCAATGTCTCCGTGGTGGAAAACGCTGGGACGATTTATGAAAACCTCGGCTGAAAGCAGTACATCTGTTGGCTGAGGTTGGATGGCTATAGTCTTCAGGGTTGGAAACCACGGGGCATGGTGCACAAGGTTTTACCTACATTTAGCATATTAAACTTTCAGATAATTTCATAGAAGGGGTTAAATTTTTATGTCTATCTTGATTCGAATGGCTGATGTTAAAGATACAACTTTTAGAGGTACATGTAATACCAGGAAGTTTGTAGCTAGTTAAGGGTATATCAGGGATTAAGGTTATTAACTTGTGATGTGAGAGAACATGTATTTGTATGAGGCCAGGAGCAGGGTTTCAGGGGATGGTCAGTAAAATACTCACAAATTTGAAAGATGAGAACACAGTTATTTGGACTCATGTTAATGCAGGGTTGTTGAAGTATGTATGTTTGATAAACTGTCAAAATGAACTGGAATGTGCCTATTCAGATACAGATTTGTGCATCTGTCTTTTAACTTATGTGTTACAATCCTTGTTTCCATTAAGATACATGTATACTGCATAAAGAGATCAACCACAGAAAAATTCATACCAAACTATAAGGCATGGATCTTGTTAACATTAACTTGAATTTCAGCATTTTTTTCTGAACTCAAATGTAGCACAGAATTTATGTGTTATGTTATAAAACTTATATATGATTGTCTTTATGAAGGAAATGAAATTAAAAGCAGTAGTAGTAATTTTAGGGTTCTCCCAATGTATGTCCAAGACTTGGAAACTTAATGCATTAAAAGAATACACTGTGTGTGAGAATTTATATCAACAATGTCATGAAATACAGTTTGAAGACTTTGGCATCAAAGAATGATGTATTAATTGCCGTTTGATTTTGTACCATCACAGTTAGTTAGTTATTTGCTTGTAAATCTACTCTTGTACTCAATGGTTTACCTGTAGATTCAAGCAGATGTATATATTTGACATTCAACAACTAAAGAAATACAGAATTTGTTAAGGCTAAAATTAACACCTTTCTTATCTGGTAGTTAATACTGATAAAAAGATGGATGCAGTCACCAGTATACATGTATGTAGAACCGTCTTGGGAAAACTGTGATTAGTTTGTATTACTATAAGCAGTTTTATTCACAATGACAAATCGGAGTGCAATGTGGTACAGGTCATCAGATGAATAGCAAGAAATGATTTTCCATGTAAGCTAAGTTGTTTTATCTTAGTCTATAATAGAGGGGATTCATTCCTCAAGCTAACCAACATCTCGCACACGCAGTCGTCCCTCAGTAAGACATCTGGAGCCGCATAGTTCCTGTTTAGAACTTTAATTCATGTTGTTTTGTCTTAGTACATATGCATAAATAATCAGGATGAAGTTTTCCCCAGTTTTCCTAACGTAGAGGTATAGGCCATTAAGCTTAAAGCATGATGTACAGTTGTAGTCAGGCCATTAAATGAAGTTTTTTTTTTCAAAGATCAAACATACATGTACTAATCTGCAGTGACAGTACATCTATCCTTTTGCACATACTACTGTACATGTGCTGTGAATATTGTACATGTTTCTTTTCTCAAGCCATTTATGTGGTGTGGAGGTAGGTTCTTTGTCTATCGAATAAAGTTTTCCTTCTTTAAGTGCAACAGATGTAATTGTCATACAAGATACAGGTACATGGAAAAAACTAAAGGGTATGAAAGCTAACCTGGGACAGTTAAATGTATTATCAAATGTGTAACTAATATATATGTATATTAATGTTGTTTTCCTTTCATGTACATTGTAATTCGTTTATTTTATATGTGATGGGAATAAACATGTCTTGGTCTTAATTCTTTGTTACAGTTGTGTTCACATGACAGCTGTTTATTAACGACTATAAAGTGATCAAGTCTGGTGTTGTATAAGTGGTAACACTGAATTGGGTCAGAACTGTTTAGCATGACTGTAAAATGAACATTATTGAGGAGGCTGGTGTTGTATAAGTAATACTCGAGTAGCAACAACACAGCATGGTACTGGAACAGACCTCAGGCCGTGCAGCCATACTCATAGATAACTGAGGTCACTACCAATGTACCAACCACGACCGTTAGGGCGGTTTTGCTCTGCAGGAGTAGCTGAGTCTCGTCCTGGTCCTTCATTTTCCCGGACATTGTAGAGTTGAGGGAATGGTTCCAGTCTGCGAAGTTCTCATCATCCTTGTCTGTGTCATCAAGGCAGTCGTTTTCACTCATTTCTGGTTCAGACATCAACTGGATCGGTTTGGAGGCAGGAATGGCGTCGGTTGCTGAGAGAATCTCAGTATTCACGGGGGTCACGTCGGAGTTCTTGGAGTCATCTGCCTTGAAATCCGGTGAGGCCTTGGGTGAGTGAGTGTGGCGGCGACCCTCATCTTCCAGAACTGCCCGCTCGATCCTGTACGTCTTCCGTCCTTTGACATTGTGCAGCAGGTGGTTGACGTGGCGAGCATCCTTCTGGGAAAGCATCTGCTCATCCCAGTACCTTTTCAAGGCCTCAAAACGTGGCACAGCCGAGTTCATAAGACGTTCGGCATGTGCACGAAGCTGACCAACTCCCACGTTCTTGAATGGGTTGCGCACGGCTTTTGAATCCAAGTTGGCGAGTACATCTTGGAGAGGGCGATCGTCAAAATCTGCAGGGACCGTATCCTTGTCATTCTTGCTGTGGCGAAGCTGGAAGTGGTTGCCAGGAACCAACAAATCCGAGTAGCCGAAATCATCTTGGAAATCCCAGTAGTCGAAATCATCTCGGGAATCCAAGTAGCCGAAATCATCTCCGAAATCCCAGTAGCCGAAATCATCTCGCTCATCCAATGCTGACAGGGCCAGGGCCGCAGTCAGGCTTGTGTAGTGGTGGATCCGATCCGCACGGTGGCGCTGCTCGTCACGGTGCTTCTTCCAACTTTGAAAACTTGGCATTTTGTTGAACATTTCGGCGACACGCCACGGCACTGCACCCTCCAAGGGGTCTTCCAGACGGGTTATGGGAGGAGACCCATTCGACGTTTTCTCTGAGCCGTACGGTACGCTGTGAACACCATGAGTGCCGTCTTCGAATGCGGGCTTCAGGTGGATTGGAGTGGGCTCTCCGGCATGTACGGAGTACGTCACGTCCACAGCCGCCTCCGAGTCAGCACTAGTGTGGGGAGTCAGGGTCACGGCAACAATCTGAAGCAAAAAAAAAAAAGAATTTTGTTGATTTGTCATAGCAGTAAGCGTCACAATCTAGCCAACATCAAGTCATATTGTCATTATGTCAAAAGCTCTACCGGTACTACTTTAGTATTGACAAACGCTCTACTGATGTGTTTGATACACCGTGTATTATCATTACCTCGCACTTAACACCTATTGTTTTCGTCTTCCTTGTGGTTATATGTTTACTTGCGGTTTGTTTTCCACTGCTTTGCTCACGTATTACATTCATTAGACTCATTACAACTAAAGTGTCAATCATAACAAATTAAAACACCCTTGCATTTACCGCACGTTATTTCATAAATTTTCATGAGGAATACTTGAAAGTTAGACCTTACCGGTGCCGTAACAGCCGCAAGCAGTAGCACCGTAATCACAGCTGCTTCAAACCACCACAGACGTCCGTCTTGCCGGTTATCGTCGCCGTCAGATGCAGGGAAGGTGGCCGCTCGGGACCGCCGGGGTTTCCGCCGGCTAGTACCACGTCGTCTCGACATCTTGTCTCAAACTCACAACCAAATGAACGGAGGACTTCACAAGTCTGTGTCTGTCGTCCTGATCAGTTGTGACAGTAAACAAGTCGTGTTCGATCGGCGTTGTTAGGCTGGAACGCGTGCAGTTTGTCGTTCTAGAACAGCTTTTTTTGAACGCGATGCTGAACCCGGATGGAAGCTCTCATGCTTTTATCACCATTTGAGCAATTTTCGCACCGATCGCCTAGGCTACTCTGAACTATATGTAGTATGGAATAAGTATATGATACAGTCTCTTATCTATCCCTTCGTCCACTTATTCAACCATTGGGACACCACAGATGTGTTAATATCATCCTTTATTTTTTCGCCGTCACAAAGTTTTCCTTATAACTACCAAATATTTTCCCCTGTAGCTAGCTATATGTTTTACACTTTACAAGTACAAAAATGTCTATCGTTAAAAATCTAATAAAGATATCACTGTATTTACCAGACATCAACTATGAAATTGGTTATCAGAGCTGTTTAGACTTAAGCAATTTTTTTGCTCGTTTTTTTTATAAATCTTATTCTAACATGACAATGACCAATTGGCATAACTACACATATATGGCATAACTAGATATATACACACAAGTACGATTTTATTAGTATTTAAGTTTTACTTTAAAAAGTATTGTCAGCCCGAAGTTAAAATACATATACTGTACGGAACTAAAACAGTTAAGGTAAACTAAACTATGCAAAATATACTAGAAACTAAACATAAAGTAAAGTAAACTATGCGAAATATACGAGTAACTAAACATACAGTTTTCAACATAAAACACGTTAACTAACGGTCTTTCGATTTTTGATGATTTCAGGCCCAGATTACCGTGCAAACTAAGAACTCAGATACATCTTGTCATTTTCACACGTCCCCAATCCTTCCCGATACATCCCTAGGTAACCTTTTGTTGTTTTATCCCCTTGTACATAACATAGTGTTCGATCTGGAAATGTTCACAAAATGTGCGGAAGCTGAAACTCAAATGTTCTTATTTTTCAAAATCAAAGGTCCTCAAATACGACATTGCACGAAGCAACATACGAAGTCTTGTTTGTCATCTGTTTCTATTCAACACAACGATTATCTTCCCTTTGCAAGGTTGAAAATATTTCCTTTTACAAGAAAAGACAATATCGTTGAAGTTGCTTTGTTATTAGCACATTTCTTCTATTTTTCTTTGGACACTTTTTCTTCGGTGGCATGTTTGGCCATGTGCATCTTGAAATGAGCGATCTGTGCTGCAGAATAGTCACACTGGTCACATTTGTAAGGCCGCAAGTGTGTGGCCATGTGCTGCTGCAAGGCGCACTTTGTTTTGGCGGCATAACCACACACCTCACACATGTATGGCCTCTCACTCCTGTGTTTAGCCACGTGTTTCGTTAAGCTTGCTTTCTTGGTTGTAAAATAGTCGCATTCCTCGCACTGGTAAGGCTTCTCACCGGTGTGTTTAGCCATGTGCTCTTTTAAAGATGAAATTTGTGCCGCTGCATAGTCACAAATTTCACATTTGTGCGGCTTTTCGCCAGTATGTGTGGTAATGTGACGCTTCAAGTGACTTATTTGCACGGTAGCATAATCACAAAGTTCACATTTGTACGGTTTCTCGCCAGTGTGTCTGGCCATGTGCCGCTTCAGATCTTTTGGTCGCACTGTGGAATAGTTGCAGTGTTCACACTGGAAGGGTTTCTCTCCAGTGTGAATGGCCATGTGAAGTTTCAAACTACGGCTGTCGGCACCTGAATAATCACACTGGTCACATTTGTATGGCTTCTCACCAGTGTGAGTGACCATGTGGGTTTTTAATTTCGACTTGACTGCAGTAGAATAGTCACAGACTTTACATTTATAAAGTTTCTCACGATCGCCACTGTGTGTGGCCACGTGCACTTTCAAATTCTGCTTCCGTTGGGTGGCGTAAGCACACAGCTCACAATTATAAGGTTTCTCTCCGGTGTGGCTTGCCATGTGGAACTTCAAACTCTTTTTGGTTACTGCAGAATAGTCGCACATGGTGCACTTGTGTGGCCTGGAGTTGGTGTGTTTCGCCATGATGTGCTCTTTCAGGTGACCCGACTGTTGTGCTGAATAATCGCAGTACGTGCACTTATAAGCTCTCTCTCCCCCATGCACAGTCCTCACGTGCACGAAAAGACCGTCTTTTCTTGCCGCAGAAAAGTCGCAGTAGCCACAGTTGTAAGGTCTCGCACCAGTGTGCATAGATGCGACGTGGTTTCTCAGCGAACTCGACTGCGCTGCTGAATAGACGCACTGCTGACACTGGAACGGTCTCTCACCAGTGTGAGTCCTGATGTGTTTTGTCATCGCAGATTTATCTATCGTTTCATATTCACAGTGCGGGCAGCTGTGTTTCTTCGGCTCTTTTCTAATTTTAGGCTTAGTTGCTGAGTGTTTGGCCATGTGTATTTTTAAAGCTGTCTTCTGGACTGCGGAATAGTCACAAATTTCACACTTAAATGGTTTGTCGGCACTGTGTGTGGCCAAGTGCATTTTCAAATTCGTCTTCCGATTGGTTGCGTAAGCACACAGCTCACACTTGTAAGGTTTCTCTCCGGTGTGGCTTGCCATGTGGAGCTTCAAACTCTTCTTTGCTACTGCAGAATAGTCGCACAGCGTGCATTTATGTGGTTTGGAGTTGGTGTGTTTCGCCATGATGTGGTTCCTAAGTTGAGCTTTCTGTGCCGTAGAATGATCACAGTACGTACACTGATAAGGTCTTTCACCGCCATGCAACACCCTAACGTGTCTGAAAAGACTTCTTTTCCTCGCCGATGAAAACTCGCAGTGGCCGCAGTGGTAAGGTTTCTCACCAGTGTGCACGGTCATGTGAAGTTTCAGTCTCGCCCTTTGTGACGTGAAGTAGTCGCACTGCTCACACTGGTGAGTTCTGTGGCTTCTTGCGTGTCTTTTCATCATCCGCTTGTGCACTGTTTCGTAGTGACAATGCGGACAGCTGAATGTCTTCTGCTTCTCTCCACTTTCACTTTCCTCACATTCACTTGCCCCTGACCATTCTTCACTTTCACTTAAACTTGACCCTTCTCCAGTTTCACTGTCAGCCCCTCCATTGTCTGTTTCTGGACAATAAGGTTCTTCTCCTGACTCCAAAGGCGAATCTTCAGTGGATTCCATCATCTAATGGTGGAACAACATTGATAATAGGGTTATCGTTTTAACAATGGGAGAGTCGGGCTTTGGGGTCTTTTCCCCGGGTCATATATCAATCATTTCGTCAGTGACTGACGGAATCTGCATTATAGTTAGACAGGTATTTATCCAAAGACTATGAATTTATATGATGTTGATTTAGAGCCTGCTAAGAACGCTAGAAAGACTAGTATTTCTAGAGTACTAGTACTATTTACAATATTGCAGCAGCGATACCCAATCAGTCATTGTTGGCCCTAAGGAAGGTGACAGACGGTCACCGATAATCGTCGGATGTGAAAAACCCACTGGTTGTTGAGTGAAGAATCTTTCTTACACTTAACTTGGAATAGTTTAGCAGTTATCAAATGGCACAAAATACCCAGTAACCTAGTCAAGACAGATACAGTTTGGCTGATGTGCCCTGTGGGACCTTTTCACCCCGCCCCAAATCATGTGAGTGCTGCCACAACTTGGATGGATTCAAGCCCAAATACTTTCAGTCGGGACCCGTCACGATGTTACCCCGATGACCCAGAAATGTCATTGGATACTGTACTATCAGACTACAACTATTAATTGATAACAGGGGACCGCTGCTCAGTCCTACGTACAGTTTCCTGTCAAAACGTCCTTGGGCGGAAGGACTTGTAACCCAAACCTTGACGAGAATCATCTGAGTCATTGAAAATGACTGTAGAAAAGACGAATACTACACACACAGGTTCTGAAGTGATCCATGTGTGGTATGCAAGTCTTAGCCGGAGAAATTAGAGCAAGATTGAGATTGAGATTAGGGGTTAAATTGTAGCCTCTACTAGGCTTCAGTAGGCTGGAAAGAGTAGAAATTTGCCGACTAGACAGATAACATGCCAAGGGAGTTGGCCCACCATAGAAGTGCGATTTGGCGGACCAACTCCCTGGTACGTTGACTTGGCCAATTTCTACTTTTTCTAGCCAAGTTTGAAGTCTGGTAGAGGCTTGTTAATTTGCCTACATACTTTCCGATCAATAAAAAGAACTTTTAAGTGGGCATTCCTACGAACCTAAACACTACAGATACGTACATAAACCTTACCGTCTGCATACAACCAAACTCCTCCGGGCTCGACTCCCCCGTAGCAGTAATGTATACAGGCGGGTAAAGGGCTTCTGGCTGCCGAATTGAAGGAAAGCGGCTAACGGCCCGAAACTAGTCGGCACCCAGGGTACAGTACAACTCTCTCTGGCAGTGTGAGCTTTCTCCGTAGCGCAATGGTAGCCGAACCACTAAACAAGGCTGCTGAAGCTCAGAATAGGCAGCAAAAACCCTAACAAAATGACTCCGACCGATTCATTTCCTTGAAATTCCTACATGACGTCTTTCAAACTTCCTCCTCGTTTCGAAGAAAACAAAGTTCTTTCTTACCTCAACTGCGACTGAAAGATGTGTGAAGTATGGATTCCACAGGAACTTTGTCTTGGAGCTCTGAGACGTCTGTCTTGTCCTAGTGATCTGTAACTCTATAAAGGACTCTGGGATCATGCAAGGTTCTCCAGGCAAGGGCACTTCCAGACGCACGCGTTCCTCTTGTCAAAATAGCGGTCCTCTTAGGTGTCAGAGGTCAGATGGGAAAAGTCACTGCGATTTCACTGCCTGATTACCCAGATGAAACTGCTGAAATCAAATGAAAGTTTACCGACTATTCAACAGCGACCTCTTCCGGTCCTATGCAGTACCAGCCCCTATCAGTCTTCAAACAGCCAATACGCGCAGTACTAACAAGACCTAATAGGTGGCGCTGTGACACCGTCTACCACCACTCGGCTAACTAGAAGAGTGACTGACGTAACCAGGCTTGTTCGGTGGGCCTTTGTTGACGACAAACATCTACTGGTTTTCCGCGCGCCCAGGCAAAACGTTGCTATAGCGACGGGGTCAAGGACGCGTGGCCAGGTCTCGGAACGTACCATTTAGAAATGGGGTGAATTTAGAACAAGAGATATCCTTTTGGCCTTGGCACCGATCAAGGAGTTGAAGAATGTCCGATCGATGGACTCATTAAGTGAGTCCTTTATAACAAATCATGTCCATGATATAACAGAAGGTTCCCTGAGACTTCATTTACCCATATGATATATGTTTGGCGGGATGATCCTCTTTTCGATCGATTGAAAGGTCACCGAAAATGTTGCCCACAAAACAGACCAACTAGTGGACAGCGGTTCCATTGTCACCAAAACTTCAAAAGCCGAGATAATGCCTAGTACAAACACCTTTATAGCCTCCTGTGCAGACTTCCTTGCGGTGTTTGGTTATTTCTACATGTACGATCGCGGCTGTTTCTTTTCGAAACAGCTCTTCCCCCATATACAGCTCTTCCCCGAAAAAAAGAAGAAGAAAAAATGTCGCGCTTGTAGAAACAAACGCAAACCGCTAGAAAGTCTGCGATGGAGGCTATCTTAGTATGGTTTGTATGATAAGACTATTAAGAGCGATAACATGGTAGTCCCCAAGTAGAGGTTTGGGTTTTGGCTTATTTTTGCGCGTTTTTAAGCTTTTTTATCGGAGATTGTTTTTTGCACTGAAGAAAATTTAAAAAGATTCCCGTGCAAAAAAGAAACTCCGATAAAAAAAAGCCTTTAAAAAACACGCCAAAAATAAGCCAAAACCCAAACCTCGTGCTCTGCCTGCATGGAGAGCAGTTTCTCGGTCCATTGGCCCACTGACAGACACCCCGGTAGGGCGCACATGTTGTCCGGGTCACGCTCACTTGACCACCCGCCGCCTGTATTTGTTTTTCACAGACCGACGCCACACGAACGATAACTGATTAGCTAATCGGTCATAATTAGCGGCAGTCCGGTGTCCCATCCGGCGGGTCAGTCCGTCTACCCCGCCCCCGTCATTACCGTTTTGTGCCCCCGTGTGGGTAGAGCCTAATCCGCAAGCAGCGAATCGGCGGGGGGTTAATCTGTTTTGTTGGCCTTTTGCTAGCCTCCACCAGGCCTTCCTAAAGAAAAACACCAAAGGCAGATCTTTCGATGGCAAAACCATGACCCGGCAAAGCAGCATCTAAATGGCCAGACAGTGAAAGGAAGATCTGCTTCGAGATGATTCCGAAGGGGTCAGTCTAGGGTCAATAACTGGCCAGGGAAGTGAGCCACGGTAAGGTAACATTCCCCTTCTGTGGGCAAATGAACTCTTTGATGGACAAATTCCCTGGCAAATATTAACTCCGAATAGCCAATCGCTGGTTTGGTAAAGACTACCCTTTTCGGCCTTCTCCACGTTGCCACCACTCTCTCTAATGTAGTGCGCTTTGATCAGAGACATGGGAACCCAGAAAAGACCACAAAAGACCAACAGAATACATGTAATACCCTACTCGTCTGCTTAGAGATTAACCAGATCGAAGTCGAACAAAAAGAATTCGAAAGTTAGGAGAAAATTAAAACACCAAAGACAAAATGCAGCACTAGATTTCTGTGATGTCCGATATAAGATCTAACGGTCCTAAGAAGAAGATACAAAAAATACATCGTATGTTTGTTGTCCAATTTTATTCTCTTATTTTGCTTTGAAAGTTTACTTATTTTACACCACACTGCGTGAATAACAATTTTGAACTGTAGATGACGACGTTTCGATTTTAAAAACGCGCACAAGTTTATTGCATTACAGGTGCCCGTTTTGTAGACCGTCTGGCGGTCAAAGGGCAACGTCTGTGTACGTGCCGTTATATTCTTCCGCCCTCCCCACATGTGGTCCAACTTCTGCTTCAAACGGCCTTGAACTTTAAAAGGATGGACTGAAGGAATGAAGCACGGAGGGTTTTCGGAGCGACAATCTCGCAGAGGATGATGAAGCTGACTTTCTAGATCGGCGCGAAGTTTTAAGAAACCCTCGGGGGAAAACCTCACTTTTGCCTTGTTGTGTTTACGAAATCAACTTTTGTTTTTGAAGAAACTGAATATGTGTGCACCGAAACTGGTTTTGTCCCGGCTAGTAGCGCAGAAGTAGCGGCTGGGACTGACTCGGAGGTCGGCGTCAAGTTTCTCCCGTCTGCGGCCGCCCGGTACTACAACATCTGCATCCCGGCACGAT